CGCCGGCCGGGCTAGCTCGCCCACCCCCCTCGCCTCAGAAGTAAAATCACCGTAGCATCCCCTCACCCCCCCATCCTTCCTCTCCAGCAGCCCTTCCTCCATTTCCTTGAAACGCTGCCGGAGAGGATACTTGACGAGGAGAGGATACTTGACGAAGGATGGCTGGCCGAAGTCGATCGCATGCGTGATAGTGGGGATGAAGGGGGCGAACACGATTCGGTGTCTGAAGCAGATATTTGCTTAGGGGAGGGGTATTATCGACGAAAGCTCCCCACGAACACTGGGACGCAGGGTGCTCTCCGCGGCCCGCTTTCAGCTGGAATCGCGTCCCGTTGCGAGCAGGGCGCCGCGCCAAACGACGACAAATTGCGGGGCCAGGCCGCGAAGCGCTCTTGCCGCGGTCCCAAACGGACCCTATGTTTGTAAAAATGAATATAATCTACATTCTTCTAACTGCCAAATTTGATGATTTATGCAACAATATGATGCAAAAAATACTCTCGCACGGGAAAATTGAAGAAAATATCTATATGAATTCACCACCAGGATTTGAAAGATCCTTTACAAAAAACAATGTGTGCAAATTAAAGAAGCCTGTGTATGGAATGAAGCAATCCTTGAAGCTTGGTTTGAGAGATGCACAGAAGCAATGATGGGAGTTGGATACAATCAAAGCCAAGGGGATCATACACTCTTTATAAAGCACTCATATGAAAAAAATTAATTCTCATTGTATATGTTGATGATATAATTGTTATATGTGATGAGAATCAAAAGAAATAGATGTTTAGAAATTTTAGCAAAAAAATTAAAATCAAAGTGTTAGACAAACTCGTATACTTTTTAGGCATAGAAGTTGCTCAATTTGAAGAGGGAAGATTTTTCTCCCAATAAAAAATATGTTCTGGATTTAGTAAAAGAATTAAAAATGACAACATGTAAGTCATGTGTACCCAAGTTAAAAAATGGGCAGATGAAGAAGAAACCGAAGTAGACACAGGAAAATATAAAAGATTAGTTGAAAAATAAATTTATTTGATTCATACCCGACCTGACATCACATTCGTAGTAAGTCGTGACTGTCGTGTTAGTCAGTTCATGCACAAACCCAAGGAATCTCACTTTCAGGCTACTTATGAAATTCTTAAATATCTTAAATTAAGTCTAGGAAAAAGTATCTTATATAAAAAAACATGATGCTCTACAAATTGAATGATATACTGATGCAGAATATGTTGGATCACCTGTGTATAGACAACCCACTCTAGGATACTGCATATTATTGGAAAGGATTCTAGTAAGTTGTAAAAGCAAAAAACAAAATGTTATATCAAGTTCTAATGCTGAATCTAAATTTTGGGTGATTGCCCAAGTTATTTATGAGCTCTAAGGATCAAGATCATACTAGACGGATTTAAAGTTAAAGTGGCAAAGATCTATGAAGAATTCTATGATAATAAATTTGCCATTAGAATTTCCTCATAATCTTGTACAACATGATCACACTAAACATATTAAAGTGAATAGATATTTTGTAAAAGAGAAATGAAAAAGTGGTTTGATTTGCACTCCATATGTCCCAATAGGAAGACAACATGCTCTCATATTTATAAAAGAGCTCAATAACCTCACATTCAAGAATATTTTGAAACGATAGATCTTTTTGGCTTTGCCATCTAGTTTGAGGGGGAGTGTTGAAGAATAGCGATCAAAAGTTAAGATAAGGAAAATTAAATGTAAAAAATTTCTTGCTTCTAAAGAAATATTTTTTTCACGATTTTATCTACAAAATAAAAAAAAAAAAGGAAATACTGAGCCCACAGAATGCTCCTCTGGCATCAATAATAGATATCTAAATAATTAAATGTCAGATAGCTAAAGGCTCTTTTGATTAATTATTGTTTTTTCTCTTTATTTGTAGTTTTGTATTTGAATACATGTTAAAGAATGAACAGACTAAACTTTTCTATCCACTTATTATACTACAGATTATGCAAATTTTGTAGTATGAAATTGATAATTATCAATCAATATTGTTGGAGATCAAGTGATGGCTGCATTTTGTTAGTTCAAATATCTTGGATTTGACACAGCAATAAAGTTAACACCCAAACAAGAGTAATTCTCAACTGTATTGAGGAACATTCATAAAGCAACCCCAAACAACTGAGAGTTTGATTAAAGCCAATGATAATGTTGATGTTCTTTTAGTTTTTTATGTTTCTTATCTAATTGAAGGATGACTTTCTAATATTATTATTATTATTATTTAAGTTTTTGTGCAATTTCATGTTTTGAAAGTATTTAGTAAAACGCTGTCATCCTTCAACACCGAATTGGTTTTGCTACACTGCTTTCATTTCAGGAACAAGGTCGGCATGCATCAACGCTGCGACTTTAGCATTAGCTGATGCTGGGATTCCAATGCGTGATCTTGTCACGTCTTGCAGTGCTGGATATCTTTGTAGCACGCCTTTACTAGGTATGGCTACTTTTATTCAAGGCCAGTTTGGGATCACTTTTGATTTTGATTTTTTATTTTATTATATATTTTATTTAAAATGAAATATTTTTGACATCTTATAACATAATCAATTATTTTTAAAAACATTCAATCCAATTTTTAGATGTTGTGAGTGTTTTTAAAACATTACACTAAACAAATATGTTTTTAAAATAATAGCAAAAACAAAGACAAAAAATAAAAAAATAAAAGTGATTCCAAATAAACCCTCAGTTTATTTCGAAAATCATTATCAAAATGATTTATACAATATCACAGTTCAAACCTGAAATTTCAATCATCAGATTTAAACTATGTTGAAGATAGCGCTGGAGGTCCAGATGTCACTGTGGGCACATTAGTCAAGATGGATAAAGTAACTCTGCTTCAGGTTATATTTTTTTACTGATTGATGATTGATGGTTTGTTTTTGGTTTCCATATTTTGCTTTGTTTACTTGTTTCTCTGTTCATAATCTATGATTTTTTGGACCTGAGTTATACTGAATTTCCATGCTTTAAAGTAACTGTAATTTATGCTGAGAAAAGGATAAAATTTTTGGGCCATTGACATACAGACCACTCGATTCTTATGTGTTTTATATATCTAACAGCTAAACTTTACTTTTTATATTTATACCACTCAAAATTTTCACATCGCATGAAAAATACTATCATTTTAACTTTTAAAAAAAGTGAAATATACCTTTTCATACATAGGAAAGGTTGTATGAATGTAAAAAATAACGTTTAGGTGCTAGATATGTAAATTCATAGGAATTGTGTGGTATGTATACAAGTCTTTCTAATTTTTGTAGAGAAGGAATGTTTATTAAGATTCCCTCCAGTGTAATATGGAGCTTACAAGTGAGAATTAGGGAAACGCCACTTCAGATATAGAGGTAAGGTTGTGTACATTAGTTGCTCTTTTGATATTGCACTGGTGAGAGCCTCATGCATTAGGCAGGCCACTTTTAATGCTAATGATGGAATTTCCAAGCATTTGTGTTTTATTTGGAAAACAAGAAAGCATAAGGGAGAATATCACAAAGATCAAAGTACTAATTTAATATGTGATTGGATTTTGGAGAAAAATGTCAAAGTGATTCCCTAATTCTTTATAAGGGTTCATTTTAATCCCAAAGTCTATGAAAGTTTTAATTTAGTCCCCAAGCTATTTTAGTGAGATCTAAAATAGTCCTCCGTTTGCACTATTGTGGCCCATATTAGAAGAGTCTAAGAACTAATTTGAAGCTTATAAATTCTGGGACTGCTTTAATAATTTTGGATCTATTTTACAGAAAAGTGGATATAACCTTGAAAGTGAATATTGAGTGGTTCTTTTGGACAGTAAAAGGATTATTGATGGCTAATTCTTGCATGAAGAAATGCGAGCATTAAGATGGATGTGTGAAAAACCTGCGAAGGAAAAATTAAGTAATGATGATAATAGAGAAGTGATTATAATGTCAATCATTGATAAGGTAAATGAAAGTTTAGGTGTTTTGGGCTAGGGGTGTAAACCAGTCAAGTCGAGCTTGAGCCACCCTTAACTTGAGCTTCAACTTGATTAATTTTATTGAGTTCAAGCTCGAGCCTACGTTTATAAGTTTGAGCCGACTTATCTATTATAAAAGAGAGAGACTAATTTAAGGTGCCGCTATAATAAAATAACAAATAAAATGAATAATTCGTAGAGAAATAATAAGAAATCACTTAATATAAAATACAAAATATTATTTGTTAAACATTTTTATTTTAAAGATCTTCAAATTTAATATATTTTGAGTATATTTTATATTAGTATTTCTTTAAATTTACTGGGTCACGAGCTAACAATTCGAGCTAGTGCTAGCTTGCGCTTGACTTGTTAGCTCATCGAGCTCAGTTTACAAGCCACTTATTAAGCTGAGTTCGAGCCGGCTCACGAGTCAGCTTGACTCATTTACCCCCCTAGTTTGGACATACAAAATGAAGGATAGGAATTGTTCAATTAAATAAGTAGATAACATCAATTTTAATGGATTAGGAACAAAAAAAAGGCGGGCATGGTAACACAAAAATTAATTATTCAACATCACAGGCAATACTTAGTTGTAGGAACGAACGAAAAACGAAAATTTATAAAGCCTATTGAGAAGTCTAATGGTGATGACGACTTCTACTAACAAGAAAAAAAATGTTTCCTAATTAGCTAATAACCATTCTATAGATTATTTTACGGGATTTTGCATATCCCCTAAACTTAAAATTTACATTTCAACCACCCAAAACTTTATTTCTTTTTGAAACAGGAGCGATCAATCCATTATATTTAAATTTTTGGGTGGTTTTTGAGTGATTGAAATGTTAAATTTTAAGTTGGGTGGGTCAATCCGTTGTATAAAAAACAAAATTTTCTAAAAATCAAATTTTTTTTTATTGCCCATCCTTTATTTTGTTGAATCTGATTTGGAACTTATTTTATTTACTTATTGAATGACAGATGGATGCGAAATTACCAATAGACATGTTTGCAGATGTGATGCAACTTGCAATAGAAGGATGCAAAGCAATAGCAAATTATATTCGGGAAGTATGTTTTTCTCTTTGGGACATTTACATACATGCGACTCAATTCTCATGTATTTACATCTGACACCTACTAAACCTTACTTTCTTGTTTTACATTTATACTACTCCAAACTTTCGCATCATATAAAAAATGCCACCATGTTAACTTTTATAATATGAAACGCACATTTTCTTGACATGTATGTAAAAATTGAAGTGAAGTTGCTCCGACGAGTGTACTAAAAATTGGGGCAATTACATGCAGACCACTCAAAACTTACTATTTACAAATCAACCACCCTCTTTCATCCACTATTCAAATGCTCACTCAAATATCAAAATTCATGGTAAAAACCCAACCCATGTTTTTCATTTTTATCAAATTCTCAATGATTTGATCGTGGCATGCATAAATACGTTGGTTCAGTGATCACGGGGGCTTAATTTTAAATATCAATAGTTTTGGTGGCCTGTATGTAATTATCCATATAATTTTTTAGTTTATTTTTCACATACAAACTAAAATTTTAGTTGATTTTTCATATTTTGTTTGTTAATATTTATTAAGAAACATTACTTTTGCCTTGATATCTGTCATTTTCAGGTTCTTTCGGAGAACTCAAAGAAACTTGAATGCATGAAGGGCAATTAGAATGGCAGCAAACATGTAAGGTGCATGATCATTCCCTTAGTTTTTTTTGCAATTTTAGAATTTGCATTCTTTAGAAAATTTTAATATTTACAAACCATTGCTGCTTTTCAAAATAGCAAAAGCATGGAGTTTAAGTTCCTGACAATTGCAAAATGATATTTGGATATTTACATATATACCACTCAATTCTTATCTAACACCTTAACTTCAATTTTTCATGCATTATTAAATTTATCTTTAGATTAATCTTATGTTTTTGTATTGCGTGAATCTCAAAGCAGATCCAATGGTTTTCATGGTTACAATATTCTGACTTATAAAATAATCAATCTGGGATAATATAATTAACATTTAACTTATTTTAATATGATTTAAATAATAGATTATTGATATATTAATATAATTTTTATGTATTCAACAAATAATATTTTAATTTAAGATAATATTTTGAATACTTATTTAAATTTTTTTTTTTATTTAAATATCCTGTATCTGGTCACCTGAACAAAATAAAATTGTTAAAATTGAACAATATTGAAATCGAACGGTTTTTTAAAAATCGGATTGGTTCGCCGATTCAACTCTGGTTCTGATTAAATCTTGGTTCTATGTAGAATGTATTCTGTTCACGGTTGGACCAAGTAGCTTGGTCCGGTTTTTCATACAAATAAAGGTAAACTATATAAATAAACTGGGGATATAATTGATACATATATATTGCTGCATATAATAAAATAAAATGTTGGAACATTTGCCATATTGATCTGCGTTTGAAATGTCACCATGTAACTGAACTTCATGATGTCTTTTAATAAATGGATTTAGAAAGACAATTTTGTGAGAAATGCAAATTAAAATAATTGTTTAAAAGTAGACAAACAATTATGAACTTTTTTTTTCAATATATGTATGGTCTAACCCTGTCATTGCTAAGTTACAAGTCTCGAATATAAAAATGGGAGATTTTTCATTAGGTTGTTGACTACCACAATAAAAATTTTATCGAAAAATTATGATATGATTTATTTAAATCACTGTGTTAGTAGTTGTTGCATTGATGTTCAGGTGTAGTGTTAAATAAACAAGAGTTCGTATAATATGAACAGATGACAAATAAGGTAGCTTATGAATATAATGTTAATATATAAAACTTGGAATACATGCATTTTTATAGGTAAATTGATGAAATTAATATATATTACAGTTCATAAGAAGAAAAATTTCTTAAGTATTCAAGAAAAAAACGTGTTGTAAAAAATGCTCAAAAGATTGATAGTTTATGTTTTAAATTTTAGTATTCAGGTAGATTTATTGAGATAAGAATACTTAGATGGATAAGTGGCTTGATACTTGGATAGAATTGTTTTATATGATTTGGTCACATTAAACATAAACCATCTAATGATCTATTTGTTTTAGATTCGACTTATGTTAAGAAAGGGATAGGTAGACCTAAAAAGTAAAGTATATTCCATTAAAAAAAATGATCTTAATCTATTAGAATTAAATAAAAATATGACAGTAACTAAGATGCAATGGAAAAAAAAAAATTCATGTAACGGACCCCACTTAATGGGATTAAGACTTATTGTTGTATGCAAATTGGTGTCTTAGTAGAAATGACGTGTAATTATAGAAACGAGTTTGAAAGACAACATTGCAAAAGTTAACATAATTAGAGATAAAATTATATCTTTAAACACTATTTTTGATACTAAAATTCTTATTGTAAGCTTTATGCTCCCCAAGTAGGAATAAATGTGTGTTCAAAATAAAATTTTTGGAATAACCTAGATGAATTTTTATTATTGGAGGGGATATAAATAAAAATATTGTAGCAGTAGTAGAATAGGTATTCATAGTGATTATGATTTGGGAGTAACCAATGAAATAGTCATTGAAATTTACTATAGCTTATGATTTAATTATTGCATAAAATTAAGTGTTGATGAGCTGAAAATGCTCAAAAGTGGATGAGTGGCTTTACACTAGAAGACAATGCGAAATGAATATACCTGCGACAGAGTTGGAGTAGCTCCACTGGTAGACAAGATTAAAAAAAAAAAAAGTCTTAAATAATTTGATCACATCAAACGTAGACTATCTGATGACACAATTAGGACATGACAATTTGATTTTTAAATAGCAAGTTTTGGGTAGTTTGCATGTAATTGCCCTAAAATAAAAAATCAGGATTTAATGCACAAATTATAAGCTTGACATCATCAAATCAAAATATTCCACAATGCCACTACTCACCCAAAATGAATTCAAACATAAAATATTTATAAAATTCACTCGTCTAAAACTTTATTTACATATATCATCATTTCCCATAAAGAAAACAAATTCAACAAAAAAGGTCTGATACTTCAGTATAGATGAGTGCCTGCTGTTATTATGGATCACCAACAACATGGGTTTCAAAAACATAAACACCATGATGGATCTGACAACTTCAGTTTTTTTTCTCCTTTTTTTTATTTAATTAAAGAGAAAAATCATACCAATTTGATCAGTCCCTTTGGCTGCTTTGATTAATTGAGACCTACAAATGGGTTAAAAAGTTAGAAATAAATTTAGGAAGAGTTGTTTGTCTTCATACCCAGATCCAGTTTTTTTCTTATTGAACAATTAAGGTCAGCTTGCAGTCAAAGCATCTTTTCTAGAATTTGAGTCAAGCAGCTGATGCAATCTTCCATTAGAATTCTCAAGAGGTTGTTCTTCTTCCTCGTCGATCCTGCTGGAATCATCCATCCTCGACAGGAGATTCTCGATCACCATTGATGGAGCTTCTTCGTCGTCGTACGCTCTATCAGTGCAAAGCTCTTCCTCTTCCTCTCTTAATTCAGCCATCTTCAGTTTCTCCTGCGATGCCAAGCATGGCGAACGAAAAAGGAAGATTTACATTTACCTACCACTCAATTCTTATATATTTATATATCTCGCACTTAGAATTCAATTTTTAGGTACATACCACCTGACCTTTTGTATGAAAAGATGTATTTCATATTTTTTATGGGATATGAAAGATTTGTATAAATGTAGAAAACAAACTTTAGGTGTTAGATATGTAATTATATAGGAATTGGGCGGTATGCATGTAAATGCCCCTACTTTTCGAGCGACATAAATCTTATTGTCTTCTTAAATCTCAATATTCTCCTCTTTTAGGCTGAATTATGGATATATCTTCTCCTTTAAAGTCCTAAATCTTAAAAACATGTCCTAAAAGGTTCATATGATTTAACCCATAATGCCTACAAGATTCACTAGATCTGAATTTACGTACATACTACACAATTCTTATGTAATTACATATCTTAACACCTCACATGCAAGTGCCACTCACAAGATTTATTAAATCCTACTTGAATTAAATCATGCTTGAATCATACTTGTCCCCGCAGTCTTACGAAATCTAGGATTTAGATTAAAACAAAAGATATATTGGATTAAGAAGAAGAGTAAAAAAATTAGAGAATCGGCGAAGTACCATTAGAACCGAGTTTTCGATTCGAAGTTTGTCCGAGCTTTCATTTAGACGAGAAATTTCAGATCTTAGAGTAGCATTCTCTGCATTCAGACTTCCAACTTTCATGGCGAGTTCTTCCGTTTCAGCCTGAAATGAGATGGAAAATGTGGAGAAGCTTTAACATAAAAACATGTGTCGGATGTGCAATTACATAAAAATTGTGTGGTATGCATGTAAATGCTCCAACCTACCTGCTTCCTTAACCTAGATCTTCTAGCAGATTCTCTGTTGGATTGTTTCCTCTTCTCCCGCTTCAATGTCCTCTCATCCTAACAAAGATTTAAAAATAAAACTCACAAAAACATACCTTTAAAGCTTACAAAATTACCACTTCAAAAACAGTGTCTGCATAAATCCCCTTAGATTTAACAAAAAGAATAGCTTCAGTATGTTGAAAAGTTCATTTGATTCTCAGAGTAATGAATACATACGATCGCTGTCGATGATAAAATTAGTTCACTCCCTGGCTTCTGTTTACTGGCACTGGAAGACCTTGGATCCATTCCTGGAGTAAGATTGGCCATGGGCATAGGAGCCGCAGCTCCGGGAGTTGCGGTCATTCCCAATGAGATAGTTGGAAGAACATCAGCTGTAAAACAAATTTACATTATTTGCTTTCACAAATCTTAAATCCCAAAATAAATACCCAAACAGTTTATCATGATTTTTAGTAGTTTCATGACAAATAGGTTTTTAAGTTTTAACTCTCTCAAGATTTACTAAATATGGTTATTTAAAATTTACTAATTCCTACTTGTAGCCAAGCAAACCCTAAAGATTGTCTATCCTTCTATATACCATAAATCAGAGTTCCATAATTGTCTAAACCATTCTGGGTTTAAGATTCCTCAATTATAGGCACCACATAGGTAATTTTGAAGGTAATTTAACTAAACATAAATACCACTTGATTCATATGCATTATATATATATATATATATCCTCTGTGTGTGTGTGTGTGTGTGTGTGTGTGGGTGGTTGAGGTGATAGTTATGTAAATACATAAGAATTGAGTGGTATGTATGTAAATCTTCCTATTTCCAATAAAGCACAATGAAACATAACAAGCGCTTGTATCCCAAGCGCTTGTATCCCAAGCGCAATAAATCACATTGCAAGGAGCGAGATGTATACGCACCCGAATTTGGTAAATCTTCAGAGCTTATATTCCTTTGCTTCTCACTTCCCTAAATGTTCAACAACAATAAATATTTATGAATGAAATGTAGACTTTGAAGCTATTAAGCTTAAGGATATGTTAAAAGTAAGAGTAAAGCTTCAAAATAGTCCCCCAACTAATTACATGGGCTCATTTTAGTCCTAGGGTCTATAAAAATGTCAAATTAGTCTCTAGATTCTTTTAACATGGGCTCATTTTAGTCCCACAGTCTAAAAATAGTGAGGGACCATTTGACACATTTCTCGTTAAAGCAAAAGAGCAATACCCCTGATTCGCTATTCCCATTACTTCCACCACTTGAACCTTCAGCTTCATTCTCATCGCTGTAAAAGTAAAATTTGTAAAATAATACGAGTTAATCAAGCTTGGTTTACGGGCGAAACAAATTAAGTTTTGTATGTTGTTTGTAGATCTAGTTAATAGAGTAGAAAACCTCTCTGATCTATTTCCATTGCAGCCTGCACTAGCTTCCTGATTACCAGAGGACGCTATAAGCACATCGATCCCTTTAATCTTTTTGGTTGCGCCTTTCTCTTTATTAGTCGAAGGATTAACAGATACTTCCTGGTTCACAGGAGATGGAATCTGCAGAGCAACATAAAGACTAGGAAAATCAAATGATGCAAAAGATTAAATAAAAATGCTGAAAAGTAATGATTAGAAATAGAATTATGCTTGAATGACTAGATTAACAGAACTGTTGGTATGAGCCCTTAAAAGAATTCTATACAAATATAAGTAGAAACTGTCAGCATAATAAATCTGTCAGATAAATAATTAAATAAAAAGTGTAAAATAACTGTAAACTTACATGGGTAGCTGAGGGGTGAGGGTAAACTCCTCCATGAGGAAAGATTGCTGTGTAAGGCCCCCCAAATGGTGTTAACATGGGCTGAACACAACATAAATGCCACTAATTATTGTTGTTTTAAGTCCGTATTACCAATTTTAAAATCATGAGACTAAATTCATTCAGATAAGAGAGAGAGAGAGAGAGAGAGAGAGAGAGAGAGAGAGAGAGAGAGAGAGAAGTCCGTTACCTGAGGACTCCACATGTACGGATAAGGAGCGTGGCCAGGAGCAACTGGAGAACCAAAAAAAGGAGCAGGGATTGGAATTCCCGGGCCATAGTATGCCTGACAAAAAGGGTAAAGAACAAACCAATAAAATCATTTCATGAACAGAGCAATAACTTTCGAAAGCAGTCAATGCAAATAGAGAAATTTACATACATACCACATAATTCTAATGTATTTACATAAGCAGCACTAAAAGATTGATACTTATACTTATAACACTTTGGTATCATTAACCTATGTATGTAAAAGTGTATTTCACTTTTAAAGAGACGGTGATTGTGGTATTTTTGATGTGATGTTAAAATTTCGAGTGGCATGCATGTAAAAATGAATGCTTAGGTGTTAGATATGTCAACGTAATAATTGTATGGTATGTATGTACATGCTCCAAAATAGAAACTAATAGAGGACATTCTAAAAAAAAATAGAGCTAGTGCAGATTACATTCTAACCTGCATGGATCCCCAATCAGGAAAAGAACGGACAGAAGGTTGCTCATGCGGTGGAGCCACAAAAAAGTTCAAGCATAAACATTCAAAAGGATATAATCACAAGGATATATACATAAAAAAAAAAAATGATACAACAAAAAAGTTTTGAAATAGAGACCTTAAATTAATAGAACAAAGGTAACATATAAAGTGGACCTTAAATTAATAGAACAAAGGTAACATATAAAGTGGACAATCATCAATCAATATTATTAGAAGATACATTGATATCTAAATGTAATAAATTTAGATATCTTGAATATCATATATAAGAATAGAAAAAAGATGAAATAAGTTCTAGAATTAAGGCTGGAAGATTAAAAATGAGAGTTATCTTGATAAATTTTTGCATGATAATAGGATATTGTGGAGCTCAAAGGTCAATTTTATAACACCACAATCATGCCAATGATGTTGTGTGGATCCTAATATTTAGTAATCAGCAATTCATTTATATCTAAATTAAGTGTGACAAATGAAAAATATTTAGATGGATGTGCGGCAAATATATGAAGGATAAATTATGAAATAATTATATTATAAATTAAAGGGACACCTATTGAAAATAATGCGACGAAATGCAAACTTAGAATGTTTAAAAATTTGCAATGAATGGTAGGAAAAACAGACAGTCAAATGAGTTAATGAAATTAGTATTAAATGATGAAGAAAAATGAGTAGACCTTAGATTACACGGATAGAAGTTGTTTAAAAAGATTTGCGAAGAATGTATTCAAAACCTTAGAAAGTATTTAATAGGAACGAACACAAAATCAATATTTATAGTGTTTCTCCTAAATAGTTGGAAAAAGGCAAATGATGATGACGATGAGTGTAAAAAAGTCAGAAAAATACGTTGAAAATATTAGTTTAAACAATAAATGCACTGGGATCCCCTTGTTTTAGAAATATAATAATAACATGCTTGCATTTCATTAGTTATACAAACAAAAATATGAGAAGCAAAACAAGAAAAAAACTTGCATATCACCAAACAAAAATTGAAAGAGTAGATAATATATAGAGTTGAGACGAGGGTTATGTTGTCGCCTTTAAAAGAAAGGGGCATTTACATAGGCATCTTTCTCAAACAGAGCACGCAAAATTGGAGCTTTTACCATGGCATGATGGAATGCTTACCGGCATTACTGAAGATGATTTCTCAGTTTTGGAAGGCGCAATAGTCTCGTTAGCTCCCATAGAAGTTGGCAGAAGTGGAGTTGCTGACTTTGGTTGATTACTACAGTTCTTAGTATCAAATGATGCAGCTATAATTCTCCGGATATACTGGAAAAATAAAGTCTGTAAGCTGAAAGAGAAAGAGAGAAAGAGAGAGAGAGCAGTATCAAATGTATGTTCAAGTATCCAATTTAGGGACTGTCTAGCAACGAATTTAAAGGGATAACTTCAGTTTTCCAGAAACCAAAACACCAATTTTAAATCCTAGAGTTCATAAATCCGGTCTCTTCTTAGTTTTCTTCTCGATTTGCCCTAAATCCTGGGTTTACTGTATTTACTAAAGCAGCTAAAGCCGATACCAAACAGCCTCTTAGCGTGCAAAAAAAAAAAAAAATCCAATTTGAAATTTTTTTTAAACAAATAACAAGCACGGATCTAATGTTCATTATATATACATGACACAAAATCATCTCAAGACACGGATATATCTGCAAATTAGGCATCACAAGATTCATTTTCAGAGAGATTAACAAATAATTGACTCGTTTATCTAACAATCTCATGCTTCTAGCTGAAATTAGGTCACCACTACTACCTCACCAAGCTCCCTAAGCTGCAATAATTCCACTTGGAGGAACATGATATGGATTGAAACAGACTTAAAACCCCAAAAAATTCCATAGTCAGCCATGATGTAGGTCACAGAAAGACGCAACAAAGCTAATCATGACTCATGATTACAAATCAAAGATTAATTCGTTCTCTCAACACTCGCCAGGAGCACTTTCTCCCAGAAAGGGGGTTCCCAACAGAAACGAACACGATCCATAAATTCTAAACCGTTTTTTTTTTTCGAGAATTTGTCTAAATACTCATTCGATGTAGATTAGTCAAATTATAAACATATATCTTCAATAATCAATAGCCATCAAATCAAGCGTTTCTGACAGCTAATTCAGCGAAACAATAAAGAACACTGCAACTTACCTTCAATTTACAGCATCAATTCACCACAAAACATCCGGAATAATTAGCAACAAAGCTAAATCGAATGGCCGCCCGACGACAGAAAGCTTCAGGAGACTTCTCAATGAATCGGGATGTGAACAAACGGCCTTTACTGTAAAAAACAAACGTTTCAGAAGATCACCGAACAATAATCCAAAGTTTCATGCACTAACCCTAACCCTAACCCTAGCTAGCTCTTATTGTCCCATACAGCGGAGAGGGAGAGGGAGGGAGAGGGAGGGGAGAGCGGGGAGAAGAAGGCTGGCAAGAGGTGAGGAGGAGAGGAGCAGCGGGCTCCAAGCCAACTGCCATGTCAACGTACACGTGTCCATATCACTAACCCTGCTAGGCTGACATTTAAGTATGCGGAGAACCGCATAAACGACTCCGTGACGTGTGTTTCTGAGCTTTCTTGCGCAGAGTGGTCCTTTTGTGCGAGTCAAGAAAGAGAGTCTCGGAAGGCAGCATCAATGAGGCATTTACAGGAAGACACGTGGCGGCGGTCCAGCCGTCGACGCGGTTGGTTTCAGTGCTGCCGGTCCAGCTGTTTCCTCGTCATGTGGCTGACGTGGTACGGACTTTAACCAGTTTGGAATCTCAATTCGCGTCCGTTCTTCTCGCGAGATTTATCCCCTTTGCCGTTTTTTTACGTTAATAGAGGTGGTGGGGGTATTTACATACATACCATATCATTTCTATATATTTACAAAACTATCCATTTTTTCATAACTCATTTAATTTATGTCCATTTAAACTTTTAAAAATTGCAATTAATATATAAATAAGTGGCATATATATAAAAATTGAAATGAATGAGACCCGCCGAAATACAATTTTTAATGTGACGAGCGATCAGATCGAACACTGCATGCAGTGTCCGTATTAATTAATTATTCGTAAAAATATAAGAATTGAGTGGTATGTGAGTAAATCCTCCTTAAAATTTTGAAGTTTATTTTGAGATTAATGTTTAGTATAAAAAATATAATTTATAATAATTTTGAAATAAATTTAATAAATTACACTTTTTTTTGTATTTACATATCTAAAAAATTAAATTTTTAATATTTATTTGTTAAATATTCAAAATTTTAGCATCATATAATAATATCATCAATATTATTTTTAAAAATTTAAATATTTATTTTCATTGCATGAATTTTAATATTATCATGATACTGAAGGGCTATACCATTAAATATTAAATTTCAGAGGTTAAATATGTAAATATAAAAATTTTATTATATGGATGGAAATAATTAATGTGAGAATATCACATTTTTTCACTAATAAAAATAATAATTGGAGGATGATAAAATCATATGTCATATACAATCAATGAGTTTATTTACGATTATTAGATTAAATTGAATTATTGGCATTTATACCCACATAAAGGAAAAAATATTACATCAGGATTCTGCACGTAGAGTTACGTTCGTAGTTCAATCAAATCACGCCACAGGGGAATATTTCGGTGACACAGGGAAATATTCCTCCTGTGTTATTCATGTGTTATTGTGTTCTGAGAATATTTCTGGTTTTATAATAACACAATAACAAATCAATAATATTTGAATAACATACAATAACACCTGAATAACATCAGAGGAATATTTCTGTGTTATCGTGTCGATTTTTTTTCTCAACTTCACGTGTGTATTATGATTTCATTGGACTCTGTATGTAACTCTACATACGGAGTCTTAATGTAATATTTTTTCCACAGAAAGACGTTGAAGCGTTACAGAATCTGCCTTCCGTTTATAGAATCTTTCCTTGTTGGGCAATAAACTTAGGTTCTCTCACCTTTATTTTTAAGAGCGTATTTAAAGTTTTAATTGTTATATTATATTTTATGAAGATTTACATACATACCACCCACTTCTTATGCATTTATATATTAAAGCCCTGAACTTCAATTTTGACATACATGCTACCTTGCCTACATATGAAAATGTATATTTTATTATTAAAAGTTAAAATTAAGATATTTTCTATGTGAAGTGAAAGATTTGGGTGGTATAAATGTAGAAAGTTGTTGAGAAAATTAGGGCGGAGAAAAACAATAATTGACACAAATCCAGAAGAACACAGAGATTTAACGAGATTCGACAAAGATGTCTACGTCCTCAGGAGCAGCTCAGGAGCAGAGGGAGCAGAGCGGCGGGTTCCTTTCAATATGCAGAAAAAAGATTACAGAATAGAGTGATACCTCCTGGGGTCACTAACAGACCTATTTATAACCCCAGGAGTAAACCCTAGACACAATATGTAATTACAACACTACCCCTGTACCATACTGCGAGGCTTTGCCCCCGCACCCCAACCCACGTAACTTCTCAATTTGGACGGATTCTTCCGCTCCGCTCTGCTTCGATCCAGCGTCTGTCCCTATATGGTATATGAGTCATACCATAATAAAAGTAAAACTTTAAGTTTTGTACTTGTAAATACAAAGGAATTGGGTGGTATATTTGTTAATACCCCTAGTTTTTATGCTTTATGAGGTGTCATGCTTGATTAAATTTGTAATTCTTGTTTTTAGTATATTCATACTCATTAAAATACTTTACATGAAATCAACTCATTTTTTATTTAGGGATAATTACATGCAGACTCCTCAAAATAATGATATTTACAAGTTAAAACCATCCATAGAATTTTTTTGAACTATCGAACATATATATTTACGTGTCACAATCAAACTATTGAGTATTTGATAAAAATGAAAAATATGAGCTGGGTTTTTTTGATGAATCTTGATGTTTGCGAGAAGATTTGAAAAGAATGGATGAAAGAGGGTGGTAGAATTGTAAATAGCAAGTTTTGGGCGGTAATTGCCTCTTTAATATATTGTATGTGGATTATATTTTAAATTGAATTAAAATATATTTAATAGCAATTGTTTCTCTCTTGTTAATTTCTCACATGACTTTTACTACGCTGCCCCTCCCTCCCCTCTCTCGCACCCCAACTTCTCTCTTGTCACCCTTTGCTCTCCCTATACCCTCTGTTCTTCGTCTCAGCTTGGCTCATTTGCTCTCCCTCGACCCACGATATTATCTACCACTATTCTGTGACATTATGATTTTGCGATATTATCTATCCCTATAGTTAATTACATCTTAGGTAACAAAAGTTACCTAAGAATACTCTCGATAAAAGTCAAGACAAATTATCTTCAAGGAGTTCAAATGGTAAGGACATTTCAAAGATATCAGACTAAGAAGTGTGAAAGAGGATTAATTCAAATTTGGAACATTTTGTTTTGGAGTCCAAAGGAGGAAACATTAGAGGATGTCACAGATCCGAAGGAGAGCTTCGGTGACTTCCCAAGCTATCATATTATTTGGCTTCAATTTAGGAGAAATCATTTAGATGTTACATCCTGCAATTTTTATTTATTAGGATTTACATTTGTGTGAAGTAATCAGCACAAATAACCTTGAAGATGTGGGGATTTATGTCGTG